CAGCTGGCGCTGCTGCAGAGCGAAGTTTTGGTTCAGTGTGGCCAATTGCTGATTAATACCACCAAGTTGCTCCATTACTGGCTTCAGCATATCCGCTAGCAACTTCATGACGTCTGCTCCCTCATCCGGTCTTGGGCTCTGACTGCCTGGTTTCGGTTTTAACTTTCCTCGGGAAGCCGCCATATTTCACTTTGTTTACACTTCCAAATCGCTATGCCAGGACCCGAAAGACTCGTCGCTCCACTATCAGTACTCAAGTAAGTCTCTCAGAAAAGAATTCGCTGTTTGCTTCCCCCCTTCCCTACGTTAGTCCATTCACGTACTTAGGAGGCGTCCCTCCTTACGCACCGCTTTTCCCACGGGGGGGGGATACTCCGTTTTATAAAAACAATCTGTTTATGTCAAACTCACATTCATTGTTGGTCATAATTGACCCCGCTCTCTTCATATTCTATTTTGCTCGATCTCCTGCACTTGTCCCGGTTAGATTGGCTTGTACCCTAAGGTCACCCAGCCGGCTGGACCTTCGGGGCGGAGGAAAGCCTCTATTCTCCAGCACGTAGCCATCGAAGAGGCTAACCCTCAAAAGCCCCCTGGCCTGGAACCCTTCACCAGGGTTCCGTGGGGGTGCCACTTGAGATGGCACCCCTCCAAGCCGAGGGTGTGCTAGTCGCCTCCTCAGACATTGAGGAGAGCACCCGCCATCGCCGATCCACCCACCGGAAACCGGGGATTTTCTTCTGATGAATATGCAAGGGAAAGACATCCAGAAAACAGACCAATGGGGAGGCAGAGAGCAAGGACGCCAGGAGGGGGAGAGAGAGGTGTTCCCAACCTCAGGATATGGGGGGGCTTACAGTGCCCTTTCTTTGTAAAGAATTTCTTAAATTCAAGTAATTCAGAATAAAGCTGTATAAGCTACCAAAACTGGACAGTGGTGCCTCTCTAGTTCACAAGAAACTAGCATAATACTACTCAATGATATGCCAAAAACCAGTGATAAGAAAAACATGCTAAGAACAAATCCTCGACTGGATAACCATCTTTGTCCCATTCCATCTTCCACTACTGGAGCATCATCCTGCTCCACATCACTTCATGTACTGCTTTAAAACTACTCTCAAAATTTTGGTTAGTGTTGTTTTTCATCATTACACTACACAGAAAAGAGACTCACTCCCCCCCATTTCTTAGCCTGTGCCTGCGAGAGGGCACGTGCACTTAAAAACATGCTTTAGAGAAGCTTTAACTGAAAAAAAACAGAGAACCACAGTCACAGATAAACAATAAGAGAGAACACAAACCTGTGTGTAGACGCTACAGTAAACAGTTACTCATGAGTCGTGTCCAAATCAGCAATCTTCAGAAAAAATAATTCTTATGAAAGTCTGCAGAGCATACCAAAGTACTAAGGTCAAGCCATCAAGTTCACCACATTTCAAAGACAAGTAAGAATGTAGCCTCAAAGTCTGTTGATTTTCTGAAGATTGTTGATTTCTTAACTGTATACAGCCTCACTACAAACGTTAAAAATGATTCTTGCAGTTTGAAGTTATACATCGGTCCTATTCAAAAGAAGGTTCACGAAATGAATACTTTATCTGGAAATTTCATCAATCTATTGTTTTGGACCTTTGTTTTGGACTTTATTGTTACATAGTACTTTGTGCCTTACATTGATTCGTATTGCAATTTTATTGTCATATATTACACTATTTGGACACAATTCATGAGTCATTGTTTACTTTAGCGTCTATACACAGCTTTGTGTTTTCTCTTTCTTACTGAGAAGCTTTAACTGGACACTGCTACTGGGGCACGATTACCATGTGTGTTCACACACAAATGCCCCCCCAAAAAACCTTAAACGAGGGACATGGTTCCATCTCACGCCAACATGCCAAGGGACCCTTAGAAAAGGAGAACGTTGGGTTCAATAGCTCTGTGATCCTGAAATATCTCCTTGAAATATGCATATTTTGTGCTCAAGCAGGGGCAAAGAAAGCAAAAGGGGAAGAGATTTTGATTCTGCCCCTAATATCCCTGAAGTAACTGCAAAGCAGCAGCATCTGAAAACAAAATTCAGTGACCTACTTTATTCCGGAGGTATTTAGAAGGGCTCCTCAAGTCTGCATTCAGGTGAGAGACGTGAATGAATTTTTCTATGCCTGCTTCTCTGGAAAGCCTGGCAATATCCCTGGGGATGTTAACGAAGACATCTTCAAACTTGAAGTTTCTGAAAGAAGGTGGAAAAATGATTACATGTGCACTTTAAATCACTGGATGAAGGCTTATAGCTGTTCCAACTTTTTTATGCTGAGTGAGGAGCCCTGTCTGTGATCAAGGTGAACATATAAAGCTGTGATCAATCCCATCAGACCACTGATGGATCCAAGTCAGTAGTACTTCCTACTCTGGGAAGCTGCAGCTCTCTGGAGAAAAGTCTTTCCCAACACCCACTGAGATTTTTTTTGACTGGAGGTGCCAGGGAAGCGTTGCCAAAGCATGCATTCTACCACTGAACCAACTCTCACGCTTCTCCTTTGGAGAGCTTAGATAAGGGTGACAATCCAATGCCAAACAAAACAAAAAAGTCTTCATCCGCTGGGCAAAGACAATAGAAGGACAGGGACAAATCTCCCTGAGAAGGGGTTCATACATTTCAGTGTCATCGTGACCAAGAAGGCTCTTTCTCGGGTTGCCACCCATCTAGCCTCAGGCAGAGGGCGAGACCTGAAGCAGGGCCCATGAAGATGTCTGGAGTGGGAGTGGGCAGCTCAGTGAAAACTTGTAGATTCCTAGGGGTGTCAAAGTACCCACTTTAATTAGTGGGAATCAAAACAAGGATGAGTTATGCAGCACCCATCTGGCAGAATGAAACTTCCCCGGGAAGAAGAAGACATTGGGTTTATACCCAGCCCTTCATTCGAATTCTCAAAGCAGCTTACAATCTCCTCCCCTTCCTCTCCCCACCACAGACAACCTGTGAGGTAGGTGGGCCTGAGAGAGCTTTTTCGAGAACTGCTCTTGAGGGAACAAATCTGAGAGAACTGTGGCTTGCCAAAGGTCCCCCAGCAGCTGCATGTGGAGGAGTGCAGAATCAAAACCGGTTCTCCCAGATTACAGTCCACGCTCGTAACCACTACACCAAACTGATGATAATGGCTAAGCAATGGAAACTGAGCAGGAGAGAAAGCGTTCTTGTGTGTATGGCCAGTGGGGGGGGGGTGTTGATACAGCAGTGCACATCTCCAAGTATTAGACAAAACTAGGAAGGAGTATAGACGTCCGTAAGAGGCAGTGGTGATGGTGCTGCATGCATGAGGGAACATGTGACAAAGGCAAAGAAAGGGTGGTGTGCGGTCACACACATGCAAGGGAAGAGCAACTTACACATGCAAAACAGAAAGGCTGCTGCTCTATACACCTTGAAGAACATTACAGACATTTCCCCTGTTCCTTAATATCTATGTAATGAGACTGTCCACAATTCTGAAGTAGGCTGTTACCTATCTGCTGAAGATATCCTGCTATCTATCACTCTAAATAAGCCATCGACTGCAGCTGTCTCTGTTCTGGCCAAGTGTCTGAATGCAGTGGTCAAGCAGCTGAGGGAGAACAAGTGGAAACCAAGTGATGCTGGCTGGAAGGGCCACTGCTTTAATAGGACTGTGCTTCCTACCATCAACAGTGTGCAGCATTTGCTGAAATACTCTGCTAAAAGCTTGGGGGTCTTGCTGGATCATGGCCTCCTGTTGCAGGAACAGGTTCCACGATAGCAAAAAAATGCATTTTTCCTACTATGTCTAGTTGGGAAGCCGGCTCCCTGTTTTCAGACATCTGATCTGGTCAAGGTGATCCATGCTTCAGTAGCCTTGAGTTTATATTACTGTAACATGCTCTACATAGGGCTGCCCTTGACAATAACGTGGAAACTACAGCTGAGCACTCCACTTGCAAATTCACTCCAGCACGGAAACTGTAAAAGCCTCAAACTGCTCTTTTCAGCCCAAAGCTACTTGACCCTGGTATTTCTCAGTCTCATACTAGGGAGGAAGAGATAATGGATTAAGAAAGGAACAGACGGGGGAAATGTCACAAAAATATGCAAAGTTTTCCTTGAAATGTTGTTGTTGTTCAGTCGCACAGTCGAGTATGACTCTTCACACCCCCATGGACCACATCACACCAGGCCCTCCTGTCTTCCGTCATGTGCCGGAGTTTGCTAAATTTCATGTTCGTTGCGTTGATAACACTGTCTAACCATCTCATCTTTTTCTGTCCCCCTCTTCTTTGACCTTCAATCTTTCCCAGCATCAGGGTCTTCTCCAGTGAGTGCTCCCTTCTCATTTGGTGGCCAAAGTATTTGAGCTTCAGTTTCATTATCTGGCCTTCCAGGGAACAGTCAGGGTTGATTTCTTTTAGGATTGACTGATTTGATCTTCTGACAGTCCAAGGGACTCTCAAGAGTCTTCTCCAGCACCATCATTCAAAAGAATTGATTCTTTGGTGCTCAGCCTTTCTTATGGTCCAACGCTCGCAGCCATACATTACTACTGGGAATACCATTGCTTTGACCATAATGATGTACTAAAGGCTTAACCCCACTACTGAAAAACCCCTTTTCGTGGGATTTCAGTTTCTTCTCACTAAATGTGAGAGCTATCTCAGCATATGTAAGAGAAAGAAGAACGATACCTGGTTTCCCATTCTTTTCCAACAAGATTGATGACGACATTGCTGTGTTCAAGGGCTCTTCGGATAGAATCTTTGTCACGCGCGTCCCATTCCTGGTAACCACAGCACAAACCGCAAGAGAAATTAAACTATGCAAAACACACACACAAAGTTTATACAAAACCATTTGTTACTTCAAGCCAACTGTCTTTATTGTGTCAGCAAATAAGCCATAGCAACAATTCCATCAAAGTAAAAACAAGAAATTTCCACACATTTTCATAGGAAAAATGAAAATACATCATGATTATTTAAAATATCCCAGAATAAAAATACCTTACAATCCAAATGGCTAATGATCCATACTCAGCCACGCTTATACTAGTGTGCCCCGTCATCAGCTTTAGGACAGCAGCAAAACAAACCTGGCCATTTGGAAACTAATGAGTTTATCCCTGTCAGTAGTTGTACTAACTTATCCTAATCTGACCCTCCTGGGAAATGAGATATAATAATAGAATCAGAGTTGGAAGGGATCTCCAGGGTCATCTAGTCCAGTTAAGTATGCTAGAAGAATCAGGGCAGGAGGAAGTAACTGCCTGTAAAGGAAGATGTTTCCCAAGATGTCTACTAATCCAACATTGGTTTGAGGACTCTGGTCTCAATAATCTTTGCTTTACTAAAAGTTTGGCTGCATGGAAATCAAGGCTCCTCAAGTATTCTTCTGAGAATCCAAGCCTGGCCACTAACCTTCCTACAAAACCACACCATGAGCTGTCATCTCTCCATGTGACAAAATTAGTCGGCTTGGAGAAAATACACATGTAGATTTATTTATTTATTTATTTATTTATTAGATTTTTACCCCACCCTCCTGGCCAAGGCCTTTGGCCTTTGTTTCTCCTCTGGGTGAAAAGAACTACAGCAAAATTTGGAAAGGTCTATCTCACCATTCTCTGAAAAACAGAGTTCACTTTTTGGGTAAAGCAACAAATCTATTTGGTGGATAACTCCACCCTTAGAGAAAAGAATTCTGCTCTTTCTAAATGACAAAGTCCCATCCCTTCTATACTCGCCTAGCTGACATCAGGTCTTCTAGGAAGACCATTTTTGATGCATGTTATCCAAACAGAACACAACTGAGCCTTCTTTTGCCTTTGGCTCCACCAGCACTGCAACGAGGGACTCACCAAATATTTCCCTCCTCAAAAAGAAGAGTAGGGATTTCTGGTCCACATCCTAGTGGTTGAGCCACAAATTTCTGCAGACTACAACCCCCAAGGCCTGGCAGAAAACAGCAGGCGGTCCTCAGGAAAATCAGTTAAGAACTCCACCATCTTCACTAATTCGGCATGTTCTAGACATGACAGAGTAGGCTGAAGCCAATTCACTTGCTCATATTTTGCAGAAAGTAACTTCATCCCACTCACACCCTCATCTCTGGGTTATAACATCTCTGGGGTATAACAAAAGAAGCACCAATGGAGGAAAACTTCAGAGTGCCTATTGGTCATGTTATTGTAACTGGCTATTCCCTTCATTTTTAAGAATAACATTAAACAATGCTGGGGAAATGTTGGATTACTTCCTGAATTGGTCCCTCTGACCCTTGGCCACTGTAGCAGAAACATCTCTCACCAGTTTTCTTAATTTCTTCCATGAACTCAGGATGGGACAGTTTCCCCTCCAGGACCAGGGAGAAGAAGAGGAGTGGGAACATACCAGGGCCCTATCTGTGGTGAAAGCCAGTTTGATGTAGTGGTTAAGCGTGCAGACTCTAATCTGGGAGAACTGGGTTTGATTCCCCATGCCTCCACTTGCAGCTGCTGGATGACCTTGGGCAAGCCATAGTTCTGTCAGAGCTGTCCTTGAAATGGCAGTCCTGGAAAGAGCTCTCTCAGCCCCACCTACCTCACAGGGTGTCTCTTGTGGGGAGGGGAAGGGAAAAGAGTTTGTAAGCCACTCTGAGACTCCGAGTCAAGGGTGGGGTATAAATCCAACCTCCTCTTCCTCCATCACCTCCTTATGCCTCACGGCATCAGAAGGAAGGTCCTATCCCATTACAAGAGGAAAACAGTCTCCCGATTTCAGAATGATGCAGCTGGAGTAAGGACAGAGTCCAATCCTTCTATGCATGAGCTACTAATTCTTGGATGGATTCACTCAGAAATCTCATGCCTCTTGCCCATAACTGTTTCTTGGTGCGTGGCAGGGCAGGCACTGAAGGCACCACAGCTAAGGAGAAAGTGAGGGGCAGATGTCCCTTTCCTGGGCCAAACAAGCCTAGGGAGTCTCATTTCCTTTTCCTCCCAGTATGGGGTTGGAGAGGAAAGCCAAAAGAATGTAAGCATCAGTGGCTGAAGACACAAGACTCTGCTCCTGGAGAGGCTGCCAAGTACATCTACCCTACCTACGACTCCTTTCCACATATATCTGCTCTACCCATCCTCATTCCTTACAGTGAAACCCTACACAGAGTTACGTCAGTCTAAGTCCATTATTTCAATGCTGGAGTAACTCTGCATAGGATCCCACTGTCAGAGTGTTAGGCTGAGGGCTGACTAGAAGCCAGTGAGAACTCTACTCCCATGTAGCTGCTCAGGAACAACCATGGCAAAAAGGATCATGCCGGTCACAAAGTCCAACCTAGGATGATTCGCTGCTCTAGAGGGGGGGATTGAAGTTTCTCTTTTCTTGGACTCTGCCCTCTTCTAAAAACTTCATCCATTGCTGCCTGCTCTCCTCTCCCAGAAACCAAGAATGGGCTATAACAGGGTCGTGATAAGTTGGCTGTGAGCTGACAGCACTTTCCACCACCAAAAGCCAGAAGGACTTACCATGAACAGAAGCTGTCCAAGATCACCCATGGGCCGTAAGTACATGGTGTCATATTGTTCACAGCGATAAGGAATGACGACCTGGGAGCCAGTCCGTCCTAAAATGTTCAGGAAGGGTTGTTTTTTTAAAAGTAGAACTGCAATATAAGACTGAGAAGAAGAGTACTGAATTCCTGGGACTCAAGCTGTCATCAGATACCTAAACAGTAATACCTGACCACGGATATCTAATGTAACCAACATAAGTTGAGGCATTTTTACAGGGGGGGGGGGTTAAGTGAGCATTCACAAGTTCCACAATAAGCATGACATGCATTCTTTTGTTTTTTGCTGCCCCTGAAGCACAACAATGGGCTGGGCTCCTACAAACCCACATATACCTCCCCATCTTGGCCAACCAAGGCCCAGTAAAGGCACCAATTCATCAGTTTATCCTCTTCCAAACCCTGTTGGGGCAAGCCAGTAACTATAAACCATGGCTTCCAAGGTCAAGCAACAGCTCTGGACTAACAAGGTTTTGGGAACCTGCTTTAAGTTACTCTAAATCTCAAAAGAGGTTTACTTGTTCCCGCCAAGCCCCCAAACATTACCCAGGCGACCAACAACATATCGACCCAGGAATCCTGTGGCCCCAAAGACAGTGGCCACAATGCCACTGACAGACGAACGCCCACTCTTCCCATGAGGAATCACGGAGTAATGAACTTCACGCTGCTGCTGTAGAAGAGGAGATGTCGATGCAGAAATGCCATTGCCTAAAACATAAGAAAACAGGACACCCGTGAGAGGGTTGCTGCCACATGATTATCCGACTCAGGGGACCAATCCCATTTTATCCCCCCAAAATCTTATGAGGTACCTTTAGCTAAGAAAAAGAAAACACGTGGTCTTTAATATCACTCAGATTAGCCACTCAACAGCTGAAGTGGCAAATGTTGACAAGGATAGTTCCCCACAGCTGTCCCAAGGGCCTGGTGGCCAAATATTACATGCAGCCAAGGAATCCTTATGAAGGCTGCGGCTGTCGTAATGGATGACACCATGATGTAATGCACAACAGGAGTTAGAAACCCCTCCACCACACAAGAATCTGTGTATCTATGCTCACACACACAGGAGGAGACACCCCAGGCCACGCACTATAACTACAACCATGTTTAGATGGGTAGGCTGGCACTAACCATTTAATTTCCATTTGGACAAAAACTGCAAGTTACCCCATGGCAAACAGAAACCCGTAATTACACAATGGATAGATTAAAATGAATTAAACTTACATAGCCCGTAAACCTACTTAATTTTTTGCCATCAAATCACAGCTGACTGATGGCAACCCCGTAGGGTTTTCAAAGCAAGAGACCTTCAGAGGTGGTTTGCCATCGCCTGCCTCCACATCACAACCCTGATATTTCCTGGCGGTCTCCCCTCCAAATACTAGCCAGGGCCGACCCTGCTTAGCCTCCAAGGTCTGATGAGATTGGGCTAGCCTGGGCTATACAGGTCAGGGCCAATTTCCAATTTACACTCCAACTTTCAATCCAATTGAAGTTCAAGGCGGCTTACAAAAATCAGAAACCTATCTCACAAGAAATAAAACCTAGCAACAATACAGATATAGGCCTCGGCCACACGGGCAGGAAAATGCGGGGGGAGGCATGGCTGTTTGCCCCGGAGCAAACTAGTGCACGACTGCACGATCAGGCATCGGGTTGAGGTCCCGTCGAGCTCCCGTGGTTAGGGGGGGAAGTGCCAATCACACGACGTGGCAAAGAAGCGGAGCGGCAAACAGGGTTTTTTTAAAAAAAAAAAACTGAAATGTGCGCATGCTCCGTTGGGTGCTTGTGCGCATCCGTGGAGACTTGGGAAAAAAACCCCTTTTTGCGAGGGGACATAGGCGGGGGCTGGAACTACCACCGGAAACTCAATCAGACGCCCGCCCTTGCCCCGCAGTTTCCGGAAACTAGTACCTCCGAGGTACTAGTTTTTTACCCTGCATCTTCGGGTAAATACAATACAATACAAAACACTAAAGTGTCGGTGCTCTAGATGTCACAGAATCAGTAGTTACAAGATGGGGGTCTGGTGAAAGTTATTAATTCCAGGCCAACAGCGTACCTCCAAGCAGCACAACCATCCCATCTTCATCCAGGGACCTCTCGCACCCCATTTAATATCCGCACAATTGGTGGTCGAGGTGCGATAATGGGGGGTAGCGATGATGGAATAGTGGTGGCAGTGGCTCCTACTCAAAAGCTTGGCGGAAGAGCTCCGTCTTGCAGGCCCTGTGGAACTGTGCAAGGTCCCGCAGGGCCCGGATCTCCTCCGGGAGCTCGTTCCACCAGGTAGGAGCCGCCACCGAAAAAGCCCTAAGCCATAAAATGATGTAGGAGCAATAAAGGACAGGGCATGGAAGGCTTCATTGTGGGGCAAGACCAAATAGCCTTTCAATGCACTTTCCAACTGGATCTTGCTAGTTTACACATAAAATCCATCTGGAAAGTGCATTGAAAGTGGATTGAAAGTGGATTATTTAGTGTGTGATTGCAGCCACTGTTGGGTTTCTAGAATGCTGTGGTCTTTGATTTTTAACATTCTACGTGAAGCCGCTGGTTAAGGTCATCACGGGATTTGGGGGAAGTATGGGGATGACCTTCAACTTTCCTTCTCCTTTTATCTGAGTCAGATGAGGATGTGGATTTACAGATTAGGTGAGGTTAAGAGCTGCAAACTGAAGTTCCATGCAGACTAGAAGCTTTCAGTGAGGTCTTCTTCAGAACTTTTATAGTGGCTGGTTGCTTGTTCTGAACAGAGTAGCAGTTCCCTAAAAGATCAAACTACCTTTGGGGGGGGGGGGGGCTTTTTGATCCATATTTTATCCAATCAATTTTATCTAGCCCCTTTATTTTAATGTGGCTCTAAGCACTTCTTCCAGTTTGGTGTAGTGGTTAAGTGTGCGGACTCTAATCTGGGACAACCGGGTTTGATTCCCCACTCCTCCACTTGCACCTGCTGATGTGACCTTGGGTCAGTCACAAGCTCTGGCACAGCTGTTCCTGAAAGAGCAGTTTGTGTCAGAGCTCTCTCAGCCCCACCCACCTCACAGGGTGTCTGTTGTGGGGAAGGGAAGGGAAAGGAGTTTGTAAACCGCTCTGAGACTCCAAGTGAAGGGCGGGGTATAAATCCAATCTCTTCTTTTTCTTCAGTATCATTTGATACGGCGATTGCACCCTTTCCTGTGCTCGTAATTACAGGTCACTTTGCCAGATGTGCCTAGAAATATCCAACAAAGAACTAAAAGGCTTGCAAAATTGCTATGGGAGAAAAGTTTCCCCACTGATGGATTTCCTGCTCATATTCATACAAGTAGACTCAAGATTTTGGAAAGTCAGTTGCTGAAGGATATAGTCAAACTGATTGTTTGGAATGAAAAAATTTCAAGAACTACATAATAGCACCCTCAAGGTGACCCACAACCAGAGATTCATCAGAAGACTTGGCGGAAGAGCTCCGTCTTGCAGGCCCTGTGGAACTTTGGAAAAATACTCTCTGCCCTAGAATTCACTTCATTGGCCTCGGCCACACAGGCAGGAAAATGCGGGGGGGGGGAGGCGTGGCTGTTTGTCCTGGAGCAAACTAACGCGCGACTGCGTGATCAGGCGTCAGGTTGAGGTCCCGTCGAGCTCCCGTGGTTAGGGGGGAGGTGCCGATCACACAACGCGGCAAAGAAGCGGAGCAGCTCGGCAAACGTGGTTGTGGGTTTTTTTAAAACTGAAATGTGCACATGCTCCATTGGGTGCTTGTGCGCATCCGTGGAGACTTGGGGGGAAAAAACCTTTTTGTGAGGGGACATGGGCGGGCGCCGGAACTACCACCGGAAATGCAATCAGATGCCCACCCTTGCCCCCCGTGGTTTCCGGAAACTAGTTTTTTACCCCGCATCTTCGGCGGGAAGCCTCGGGTGCGCCACAGGAGCTCTACACTTCCCAGATGTGGCAGTGAGATCACGCCCGGAAAATCCGCCTATCTTCCGTCCCTCTAGCATGCCTAATGCTCCATGTGACCGGGGTCATAAATGATCAAACTCACTGGATTCAATCTGAGTGGGAACTTTTTTTAAAAGGGTTTTTTTTTTTAATTATAAACTTCAAAAATTACCCGAAGCAAAAAGAAAAGACCAAAAGAGCACCTATACATATTAATCTATATACCTTAGTACGTCTTGCTGTATATTAAGGATGCTGACTGATTTCAATTGTTGCCAACACTGAACAAACATTTCTAAGCTATATTCATTTTCATTATACACTAATCTTATCTTAGCGAGTCCCAAGAGCTAGGTACAGTTTTCATATTCCATTTTGGAGCACTCACTTGCCTAACAGTCATCAATAAATGCAATATCAGACTTCACTAATTTGTAGACAATGATTTTGGCTTTATACCAGTTAGTGCTAATCTTGGACCTTTGTTCAAACATACAGTAATTTTTTTGTTTAACCATATTGTACAGACAAATGTGTGTGCAGACGTGCGTAAATTTCAGAGGTGAGGGAAACAGCAGTCTGCATGAATAATCCATTTTAGGCAAGAGGAGGTATAGAACGGGGGAGGATTAGCCTGGTAGGGGGCACTCAATTAAGGTCTGTCTCTTACTTGGGTCCCTTTCCCAGTCAGCAAGACTCCCAATAGCCACACTAGCAGAAAATCACATCTTAAAGTGCTGTTACTGAATGCTCTGTGATAAGACACCTATCATTCAGGGACACAGTTCTAGATAGTTCTGATATGCATCACAAACAATTGGCTGGATGAAGGATTGATTTGTCCCAGTTGTACCCATCGGGTTTCTTGGTGCAGTAACAGCCAAGACTTAACATGAGCCTTGACAAGTTTACTTTGGCTCTGGCTGCCAGACTCATTTTACAGCCTTCAGGATTTTATATTTTGACTAGAAAGAAGTCCCGTTGCAGAGACAAATACAACGAGCTCTAGCTGGGCCACCGCCTGCCAGCCCATCCCTCGGGAGAAGAAGGGGCGGCAGCAGCCTCGTCCACAGGGCACAGCGGGGGGTAGAGCACAGGTGCTCTCCCAGCACCTGCATCCCAGCTCCCGCCGCCGGGGTTGGAGAGGAGGAGGGTCTTGGTGCGGCAGCGGGCCTGCATCAGGGAGGCCTCTCGGTGTGGTGGCAGCAGGGCGCAGTGGCATCAGAGCTGCCTCAGCTGGGCCAGACGACGACGACAGGGTTGGCGGTGGAGGGGCGGCCTCTTGCTGCAGCAGTATTCCACCCTGCCCCCGCCATGACCGTGGCATTTTGGAACATGTGTGGGCTCCTGCGCTTCTTCTCCACCTCTCCCAGTGGGCGTGCTCACCCTCTGTCCACTGGAACACCCGTCCCCTCGGCTGGCTCAGAGCACAGTGAGCCAGAGACACCGCCAGCCAACTCGGCGCCTCTGTGAGCGGGACGGAGGCAAGGGAGCTAGCCAATGCAGCCAGGGGATCCTTCAGAGTGGCAGGTGTGAGAGCGAAAGGCTGCGGGAGCGTGTGCAGCAGGGACACCAAAACTCTTTTATAATAAGAGATGACAATATTTTCTCACTACCACCAAACTTTCACAGTTTCTCATCATTTTATTCAAGCAATAATATGACAAAAACATTGTGGTGCATAAATAAACATGGGGCTAACCTTGAACAAACTTACTCGTAACAACACTCTCTTAGCAGTGATTTGTTTATTGAGAGATGGGAATGTGTCAAGCTAAGACTATCTATGTCAAAACGGACCCTCTTGGTGCCAGTTCTGATATTATACAGAGTTCAAACAGCCCCCCCATATGACTAGCCCAATCACACACACATTTAGCCCACCAAAATCTACTACCGTGTTTCCTCGAAAATAAGACACTGTCTTATATTTATTTTTTCTCAAGAAGACACACTAGGGCTTATACCACAAATGCATATAAATCCTGCTAGGGCTTATTTTTGGGGTAGGTCTTATTTTCGGGCAAACAGGGTATGTACCGCTAGCCCTCCCACATCACTTGCAAGCTTAGTATCTAACAGTATCTGCTTCCAAGGTCAAGCACACATTCTTCCCAGGGAAGGGAGGCCCCGCTTAATGCCGTTGCAAGCTAGGGCACCTTCTAGCAAAGCAATCTTCACACACACACCCTGTAATGCCCATATTGGCAAATGGTTCCTTTTGGATTTCAACAGGCAAGGACAGACTTATGAGAGAAAGCAGTTCTTTATTTACTACCCAAAACAGACTAATTTAAGAATAGCAACAAGGATACCCCCGCATACAATCCTTAGCAGTGGGTCAATCCTGTAACAAAGCAAGAAGAATACCCACATATATGCAGCCCTCAGCAGTTGGTCTGTCTGGTCATCTCAAGTGGGCTTCTTCTCTTCTTTCCTCCCTGTGTCTTTTTTATTTGTAACAATATCATAAAGCCCAGCTGGGACTTGTTTGCTATGCCAGAGGAAACCCCTCTCACAGCATTCCAGCACCAGAAGAAACAGATACGATGAGCTAAAATCATTAACTCCTTGTGGCATGGTGCTGTCAAAAAGGGAATACACAGAAGCAAATTGGTGATTAACCACCTGCCTCCTCGAATGCACTATGGCCTTCCTCATTTACCAGTACACCCCCTCCCATCAGAATGACATGAGACAATAAGCATACAGCAAAAGAGCAGCAGGAAACATGGCAAACGAGACCCGAGTTTGATAGGTTGTCATTGTAATAAAATTTTATAATAAAAAAACTGCTGAAAAAGGCGAAATGAAATTTGTAGCCACCGTGGAGACCTGGTACCTGGGATCTGTGGAGTCCTGCCTTAACAATAGGGGAGAAAGCTGTTGTAGTCCATCATTTATCCATCAGACCCACCAGAGACAGTGTTTTCTATCTGACTCAGGGAAGGCTTCAGCGCTCCATCAATCAAGTTCTGACCTTTTCCTGGTACAGTTTAGACTCACAACATCACCAAGGGCACAGAACTCATAGTCCACCCCAAGCAGCCAATGGGTCCAGATGAATTTATAAGGAGCCTTTGGGAGTTTTATGTCAAGATGGCTGGTGACATTGACCAAGCCAATCTCTGGAATTTAGAGACAACTTGAGCAGTTGGCACAATCAATCCTAGAGGTCCTTCTCACAGAGCAACTTGGTTTACTGTAGAGTTAAGGACTCTGAAACATCTTTTTCACCTGTAATTGCTACGACCAAGATACTGTAGCCGGCTTGTGAAAAACAAAAAGATGTCTACATGCCCAAGAACAATTTGTGGACACCTGTGCATTTCTAAGTCTGAACACTTTTGAGCCAAACTGAAATATATACAGCCAAGAATGATGGATGAATCAGATTTCTTGTGCTTTTCTTTCATATGCAACAGAATCATATTGCTAAAATAAAAAGTTCAGCATTTTTTTTGGGGGGGGGGGAATCAGTGGGGCAGCCAGGAACAAGCAGAGGAAGTTCCAGCAGCTCTGCCAACCCTGTAAGAGTAACCTGGCTCAGACCCTTCAGTGGCAACAATGACTGGGTATCACTCCAGGTTGCCAATTCTTGCCCCATAGAGTGTGAGCATGTTTGCCAACTCTGACTTGAGAGATTCCTGAAGATTTGGAGGTAGTGTCTGGGAAGGGTGAATTCTGAGGAGGGGAGGGAGTTGAGCAGGGATGAGATACCATACAACCCACCCTCTGAAGCTGTCTTTTGCTCCAGGGGAAGTGATATGCATAGTCCGGAGACCAGTCGTAATTCCGAGAGAACTCCAGGCCCCGATGCCAGTGGGTTACTTCTGGGCCCTTTTAACTTCCCAGGCCACCTCGATGGAAACAGTCAGGGCTTGCCACGGGCGGCCAAAGGCCAAGGAGAGCCGCAGAGCTCCAGATTCTTTTACGGGGAGGCGGCATCGCGGTGGGCAGGCGCCGCGCAACTTCACTACTTTCCTTGCTTGGCAAGCCGTGTTTTGCCCGACTATGGCAAACACGGCAAGTGCAGCTTCCCCCTTTTGCCACCTTGGCCAAAGAGCCGAGATTTGAGGCAGGTCCCCCGCTGATAGCTTAACCTCCATACGACGATTCGGCGTGATTGATTTAGAAACTTTAAGAAAAAATGCTGCTGGAAGCCACTTCATGCACAGTGACCTTCCTCAATCTCTTTGCGCTCCAGCTCGAGGGAACACGGCGCCCACCCCCACTTTCCAAACGCCCGAAACGATTCTCCGAAGAGACAATTACAATAAGCCGCTTCCCACACACAGCCTGACCCAAGGGAAGAGGGCAAGCCCCACTGGACCTACCAGCTCTTGGCAACAGCAGAAGCCGGTAGGGAACCCGATGACAGCGGGCGGAGGCCGCCATATTCTCCCCACCTCAACATTCACCTCCGACCTGTAAGGTACTACGAATGCCGCCGAGGACAAAACACTCTCGCTGGAGGGGGAAAAAATGAAACCTACAGTGCACATGCGCTGAAGAGCGGATGGGGTGGAGTCACGGATGTGTCCTTTTTCGTCTCAAGGAGAGTCTACAGCTCCGCCCAGAGGCGGGATGGGGCGGGGTTAGAAATGGCGGCGTGATAAATACCCGGAGGGAAGGCGCTGGTTCGAATAGGGAAAGGATGGTGTTGTCTGAATTATCTTAAGTGGTCTACAATTAAGGATACAGCACTCTCCAATTGATGACATATTTATTTTTTTCACTGTTTTCCCCCTAGAATTGAACCCAAACAAATGGTTCATACATATTAAGCTTATTATCCTTGAATCTAAACGGCACCTTTAAGACCCACAAAGTTTTATTTAAGGTGTAAGCTGTGCAAGCACACTTCCTTAGACACATGAAAGCTTGCACCTTAAATAAAACATTGTGGGTCTTAAAGGTGCCATTGGACTCAAACTTTGTTCTGCTGCTTCAAACCAACAGGCTACCCACCTGAATCTATCCTTGAATCTGTTAAACATCTTCATTATGCTGTATGATAATAATTTACTGCTCACCCTCTGCCTAGATGTATGGCTTGGTAATTTCCAATTTTGTTTCTGTCTCCGTCTTGACTGTAATTGGCCCTTTCTGGCAACTAGCCCCCTCCCACCTTCTCTCTTTCTATATGTGATGGTTGAGGAAATTCTGTTTCACTGTATCTGAAGAAGTGTGTGTGCACATGAAAAGCTTACACCTTGAATAAAGCTTTGTTGGTCTTAAGGGTGCCACTGGACTCCAACTTTGTTCTGCTACTTCAGACCAACGCAGTTACCCTCCTGAATCTAAATACATAGGGAGTGGTGGGAGTGATGGACATCACTAACCAAAGGGTTCCTTAGTCTGTAGCAGCCCAAAATAAGCAGGAGGCTTATGGCATCTTAAAGACTTGCACAATTATGTTCCAGAGTAGGTTTCTGTAGAGCAGAGCCCACTTCTGTGGATACTCTGGGTGGCTTCTTGCTTTGCCTTTGCTTTATGAAGGAGTTAAAAAAAACATCACCATCTGGGTCAAGGACTGTGTGAAATGATGTAAAATTCAATTCTAATCAAGGCAAATGCAAAGGCTCTTCATATATTAGTAGCTGTAAATTTTGCCAAGATTGCATCTCCAAATTGTTGGATATTGTGTTATCATTGTTATCAATTACTAGTAATTGGATTTTTCCATGGACAATACAGTTGTGAAGGGTTGCTATACCACAACAACTGTGCAATGTTCATTGATGTGTGGATGCAGCTGAAGATAGTTTATGGTGGAATCTGCACTGGTATTTTCCACTGCTTTGGCTACACTCTCTCTTTGTCTCCAAAAAAAGATGTCCACATCTCTTTAGGTTTCGCTCTCCTACTGCACTGTTATAATTTCTGCTGTCTGCATTATTTTATTGCCCTATGGTTTCGGCTCCATCATGATTGTGGCTTCTCTCCGGCTCAAATGGATGTGCTTAAAAGCACTCTAAGCCCCCCCCCCAAAAAAAGTGCTAATCGGGGGCTTGTCTGCTCTGACAGCACATAGAGGAATGTAAGAAACTTTTCCCTTGCTTGACAAGCTAAGAGTGAATGATTTTATCTTGTTTTGTAATTTTTATATTGCCTGAAAAGTTAGAGAAAGATCCCTTCTTACATACATATACATACATTCTGCAAACTAAACACCCAGTCTTTACAGTTTTTTGGCTATTTTTGCTATTTTTGCTTTCTTGTTTAAACCAAAAGCTGGGCAAAACTGGAAGCTGAGAAAATCCTTCTCTTTGAATGTTGCCTTAAGTAATTTATTGCCTTGTGTAAAGCTAATGGGTGCTGGCAAACGCAGGGCGTGCTAGAGAAGAGGGAGGAGAACAACGTTCCCGGCCAGCAAGCAGAAAAAAATAGCAGATTTTTCCGTACCACTTTGAAAAAAGCATCACACCAATATAAAGAAAGACGGAATCAAGACTGCTTTAAAAATTAAATGCAGATTCGGCCAATAGCTGTGTGATGAGACTACAGTGGGACTGATTTCACACAAGAGCTGCTCCGCGGTCGCGCCTCCCTTTGCCCCGATTGTATTGGTCAATTTCCCACTCGAAGCTGTGTGGCTGCGTTTTGACCCGCGGCTTCGCCCGAATTCCCCCGCGGTTTCGTGATCCTGTTTTTTGAGGCGGGGAAGGGAAAGAAGTTTGTAAACTGCTCTGAGATTCCGAGTGAAGGGTGGGGTATAAATCCAATCTCTTCTTCTTCTTCAGAAGTATATGTTTTCCTAGGGGTCTCGCTGTCTTTTACAACTGGCAAGTAGGGCTGCCAAGTGGGGGCAGGTGGCGGGTAAACCCCCGCTTTGGAGGCCCGATTTCCACCGCCGCGGAATCGGGCCCCGGGGGGGACCTCGCCCCCAAAGCACAGCGTGGCTGCATCACCGGAGGTGACGCAACCACGTTGAGCACGTTGGGGGCGTGGCCCCGATCATCAGAGGGAAAACTCTATGGTTTTCCCTACGACGATGGGGGCCACGCCCTCAACGTGCTCAATGTCACATGTCACTTCCTGGACGTGCTGGTGGCACGCGCACGTCGGAGAAGAGCTCCTGGGTCGCCACG